GTTTTGGTGCAGAAATACTAAAGAGCACTGAAATTGTCCTTAACAAAAAAATATTTAAAAGGACATTTTCAATACCTATTCGTCCTTATGCGCCAACAACAGCATTTAATATTTTTCAATTCTGTAGAATTTTCTCTTTCATTTGGTGTCCATATTCTACATCGCGCTGAATTTTTTTTAATAATTTAATTTTTAGAATTTTTCATATCCTTGAAGATTCAAAGTCCTTCAAAAAAGGTACTGACGTCGGAGAGATAAACTAAAACGCAGTTTTACTATATTTGGCGCCTAGTTTCGAGAGTATATTTTTTCATTTGTCTTGATTTTTTTTTGTTTTTGGTAAAAGGTGCTTGATGAATAAAAGTCAACTTTTTTCGCCTTCATTTTGTGTTTAGTTTTTTTTAACAAATATGTAAAAATTTGTACACAAGCATAACCGTTACCGTAACCGTGTTTTTTGGCATATCTTAAATTGGTTTTCCCTACAAATTAGCTGTTGCTACAAATGTAGACTTCCGCGCGGATACGTAATTTTTCAATCCCGAGCACATGAGGTTAAAAAAATAAGAGAATGTGAAAAAAACACTCGTACATATAACGAACTTTGGCCGTTATCTGACGGCCCAGCGAGCTATGTCTAGGCTTTAATTAAATAAGTACTAAGGACCTAAAAAATTTGCGTTAATAGGATTTAGATTTTTTTTTTTTTTAGATTAGAGTGTGAGCTGTCGCAGAGAAACGATCTTGTGAGTGCCGTGCCTTGCCAATTGATCAAGCTTTGGTTTTTTTGTAATCTTGCTAGGAAATAGGTACATGTGACCGAAGGAGAGGAATATAATGCCGTATAGCAATTCGGCTATTAAAATAAATTAAACGAGTCTAATACCTCTCTGATATGAGCTCCAACATTACCAAGGAGGTATTTCTACCAATTTTAAAGTTTATTTGCAGGACGTTTGCACGACTGGTACATGGGTAGATGCGGGTAAAGAAGGGTCTACTTACCGATAGCAATGATGGCTACCGACCCGTTTCTTCAAGTTAAAATATATCCTTTTTACTTATTGTTGTTTCCGACAGGGTGGGTGTATGATGTATTTTGAAACGAATTTCCGTCATCTCTTGTGAAATTTAGTTTGGTATAAGTTTCCAATAGTTATTCAGTATGTAGGCTACTAAGAGGAAAGATAACCAAGCACGCATTCTAGATTCTTAACTAGATGTTGTGGCCCTTTCTACCGAGAACCCTAATCCAAATAATTGGTTTAGGAGTGATTTTACAAAATTATATATCTAAATACGCGGCCTCCATGCGAAGTCTAAGAAACTGTTTCCTTAGCCACACAGAAGGTCAAGGCATTACGTCCATTGTGCTGTTATCATAGCCGTTTTTCTAAGCTTCAAATAACCTAGAATGGGGATTTTTTTATGTTTCTTGAAAATTTATTTCTATTTATTCGACTATTATTCTTAAGGCAGTGAAAGTGAGAATCGTAGCCATACAACTAATGAAAATTTAAGCACAAAATATATATATAAACTTTTTAAAATCATTATAATCAGTGTTTAAAGGCTTAGTTTGTTTAATAATATATAAAGAGGAGAATTTTAATTATTAGCCTTTATTTACACAAGGAAGTTTGGAAAAAATACGGCTCATTCAAAAATATCTTCATGTCCTTACAAGATATTGCTGAGCACTTTAGGCAAAAATTCTAACACATTTACAGTTTTGTTTTTGTAGTATGGCATAAATATGTAGTTTGACTATTAGTAGTCCTCAGTTGCTGATGACAACATTGAGGGGAAAGTACTCAGCTTTTTTTAGGTTTGGTCAGACCAAGTAACGAATCTGGGTTCTGTCGCGTACTAATGCGTGCGTACTCGCTCACGACCGCCAATCAAATAAATAGTTTTCCTTTAGAATATTTTTCAATTAAGCCAAAAATTTCGAATGTATTCAGTGTATACTCGTAGTAACAATAAAAAAAAATTATCTTGAAAATCTTATTGGTTTCAATGACATTTCAACAATATGTATAAATATAGCCTAAAAATACTTAGAGAACTACAAAAACAAAGTTATATGCGTGTGTGTGTATTTTCAAAAGAAAAAAATATTATTCAGTTCAAACAAGACAGAAATGACAAGTGATCTATCTGAACCAATTAGGGCACAAAAGTTAAATAAAGCGAAACTTACGAATAGAAAATAAAGAAGAGTACATGCAAAGATTTATAAAATATAGGAGCAAGAAAAACAAGTCAAAAAAGTACACAAGCATGTACATATGTACATACAGCATTGTTATTGTGTGTTTCAATGTCAATTGAGTTCAATTAATCAACTTCCCCACTTACCAGGTCAAATTAATTGGTAAAATTTATGAAAAAATATATATAAAAAAAAAAAAACATAATAATAACTGTCGTTGTCAATTCTACTTGCTATCTTGTTCTCCAACTCTCTTAAAACAATTAATATTTGTGAATAAAAAACATGTGTAAATAATAAATTAGCCTAAAAGGAATGCATGATCCTTTGATTTATGTAAAAACATCCAAAATATGACTTCAACTCTAAACAGAACAAACTTTCCTTCTTTCTTGCTCAAATATTTCATTAAAGAGGTCTATTAGCTCGCTCTATTTCTTTCTTAAAACTCTCTTAAGAATTACAAACTTAGAACATTTTCACACTCGCTCGAATAAGTATACATACATACATTCTATGTGCCCCCAAAACTTATACTAAAATACCACACAAACACATTTACTTGCGTTCTTCGTTAGTTTTTTTAGGCTAGAATAATAAAATAAAAATCAACAAACAATACCTTTAAAGATAATAATTACGATTATAGGTATTATACTAAAACAAAGTAAAACATATTAATAAAAACAGATCTAAATGCTGCATGTATATTGTTAAATGTTTTTTTATTTCCCAAACTAAACAAGATAAATAATAGATTTACAACATAAAATAAAACAATAATAAAGTATCAATTTTTGTGTGTATCTGTGTAATTTGTATTTCTAAATGTCGATTATGTATACAAGCATATACATACATATACATTTCTGCATCAAACTGTTAATAACAAAAAAAAATTATGTGGAGATTTAAATGCCATGCTACGCTTATGCAACGCATAATTATTTACAATATATATACAAACATGTATACACATGCATACATATATAATTGAAAAGGTATAAAAGAAACGAAAAATAGCCATTGGAATGTATTGCATTTTGCCAGAGTCATTTTGCCAATTTTTTATTTTTTTTTGTATCTATTAATTATGTTGCGCAAACAAGGCACATGCGTAAATAACAACAAAACAAAACAAAACAACGTTTACTAACAAAATGCATATTCGTATTTATATACACATAAATATACAAGTACATATATACATAAATAAATGAATGCCAATAATGCTAAAATGGAAATGTGAAAGTGTTTTATGAAATCTAATGTGAAAATTCTCAAATACGAATAATTTTCTTTGTGCATTGCTATAAAAAATAAAGAGAAAGGAATGAGAATACTGAGTTTTTTACAAATAACTAATTAACTGTTTTTATTGCTATTGCATGGATCGGGTAAAAGTATTAACAAATGATATGTGTGCATATTTTACTAAACAGGGGTAAATAGCATGATGCCATAATACAAGGTGTTATCGGCTGGCAGCTTCTCGCTCTAATTCCGCCATATTGACTGCCTTAGGTGAGACAGTGTTACTTCTTTAACAATTCTTTGCCTAATAATATAGTTCAATATTTTTTTTTATTTTTTCTCAGTATACACATTTTTTTTTCTTAAAAAGGTATTTTATCTTATTTTATTTCATTTCATTGCGAATATACTATAAAAAAACAAATTTTGTTTAGGAAAAAATGTGAAATTTTATATTTTTCCCCCAAATGGGGTTCTATTTCTTCCCGTTTTTCTTATCATTCTACTGAGCTAAGGCAGTGTCAAATCGAGCTGTCACAATTGATACCACCTTGTATTAGTGCATCATGGGTAAACAGCTACCTATTTTGTTACACATCGACTGGTTTAGGAACAACATATCATATTTACAAATTTTACAGGAGACGAGAAAAAAACATTTTTCATGTTTAAAGCAAAGCAAAACCACATACGAATCAGAAGAACTCAATATTTTTAAAAGATTTGGTATTATTTTGGCCCAATCGGACTTTTGATGTCTCTTTTGGACTTAGCAAATTTGCACTTCATTGAATATGAACGAGAAACTTTTTGACAAATGGATATAAAATTTGGACAATCGCAAAGACTGTTGATGTGTATAATTTTTCTGCCCCAATTTTAAGCAAAAACAATAAAATATAAGGAAATGGAGTTTCTGGTGACAATATTAAGAAGTATTACACTAAATTATATATTTCTGGTAAATAAATTTCTTTAATGTTTCAAACGCTTTAATTGATTCAAATTAAATTGATTAAAAACTTAAATTGATGAATTGCAGTCAATGATGGTAGAAGTTTTCTTAAAATATTCATTTCACTTCATTTTTTATATTTTATTCTGCGGTTGTTAAAAATTTACTGTTGTCAAAAAAAGATTTCATTTCACCAGGATGATGCCGAGATAGGTCGATCTTCCACTCAGCCATCGATTTGCTGTCAAAACAAATGTTGACCTCGACGATACATACAAGAAAATATTTTTAAATATATAAACATATAGTTTTTGTAAACACACATACAGTAAGGCATTTTCAAAACTCTTGATTTTTTGGGAGTAATCCGAAAACCAGTCGATCGTTTCATTGTAATTTATATATACATACAAATGTACGTTTATACATGTATTAATAAGAAATATAAATACATACCCCAATATGCATATGTTTTTTTTTAATTCTTAATTAATTAATTAATTAATTATGTCTCTTTCACATTTCTTTCATTAAAATACTTTTTGCTCTCTTGTTTTTTTTTCTCATCTTGAACAGGGCCCACCAGGTCTAGATGGCATGAAGGTAAATAAGCGGCTTGAGAGTTAATAGCTATTAAATAAATTTTTAATTAATTTTTAACATTTTCTTATAGGGCGCTCAAGGTGAAACTGGACATAAAGGTGAACGCGGCGATCCAGGATTGCCGGTAAGTACTTAACGGATTTAAAGAAAAATTAAATTATTTCTTTTGTTTTCTTAATGGTGCTTGAACGTAAATTTTTGGTTTAAGATTTTCTTTCAAAAATGCATGAAAATGGGCATAAGTCAACTGCGTGCATATTCAAAGCTATACAATACACATTTTATAATAGTACATCCATATTTTTTTAAGTGCACACTACAAATACAAATCTATTTTTTCCTTATTTTTCTTATTGCATCTGCACTCTATGCAACAACCAAATTCCGTACTCATATTGGAAAAATTAACTACATATATACATACATATCTATGTACATATGGATAATGAATCGTAAAACGCTGAAATTATATTTGCATTGCTATTGACTTTCCCTCCCACAAATGTGTCTCAATGTGTATCTGTGTTGGTATTTGTAACTATGTACATGTGTGTTTTCATGCGATATCGCTGCTCTCTTTGGCATAATATGTACGTCGCCATCAAACAGGGCACCGATGGCATACCCGGTCAAGAGGGGCCGCGCGGTGAGAAGGGCTCACGTGGCGATGCTGGACCACCAGGAAAACGCGGACGCAAAGGGGATCGCGGTGACAAAGGCGAGCAGGGCGTGCCTGGACTAGATGCGCCCTGTCCGCTGGGCTCAGATGGCCTACCATTGCCGGGTTGTGGTTGGCGACCACCAAAGGTTAGCATGAAGTCGATAATATTTTATTCATTTATATAAAAAGGAGCAGTTAATAGATCAAATAATTTGTGTTGGTGTTGGTTTTCAAAATTTTCGCGGGCTTTTTTTAGAATTAACAAAGCACAATCGCTGCATGTTTAGCATACATATAGACCAACCGTAACACGTAACTCAATTATCAATTTTAGCATTTTCTTTGCACTTTTCAAATAATCATATAAATGCCTTGCGCACACGCACATGCACACTAATCAAAATCCTCTCTAGGAGCCTGTCATCTCCACGCCCATACACAAAGACTACCTACCCGATGTAACAGCGCCTGAAAGCAATACAAGCGACTATGAGGCGGAAGAGGAAGAAGATGAGCAGAATGAGGCTGAAGAGGAATACGATGAATATGCAGATAATTTGCACAATAATGATTGAATAAGTGTACAAACACTAAAGAATAGCAACGACGACAATGCAAAATCTCTGAAAGTTGCGAAACCAGCGAATTAGCAATCTGTAAAAAAAATAAGCAGCGAAATTCGCTTTTAAATCACCCGCTTTATATGTAATTATAATATGTAGTTATAGCGAAAATAGTAATTCCTTTAATTTTGTCGTTAACCACATTTTCTTTCACCTAAAGAGTTTATACTTTTTAATTATTTATTGTATTTTTAATTTTACTAAATAAAAACTTAATATAAGCGCTTAGTTAAAATAATATTTTGTAAGACTTAACATTTCTTGTTGGATTATGGTTTAAATTAACGCACTTAACAAATCAAACTGACTCTGCAAAAGCAGTTCACTGTACCAACTGTACAGCTTACAGCACTATCTTCAAATTTTTGGTTGTGGATTTACAAAACATTCAAAAAAGTAATTTCATTTTGCGTTACTTGTTTTATGCCGATTGAAATCAAAGCAAAATTATGTTTTCATGGAACTTTGTTTAATTTTTACTTATTTACTTATTTTATTTATTTTTTATTTGACTTTGTTTTTTTCTACATTTTTGTCATATTTACTTGATTTCATTTATTTTATGATGGTAATTTACTTCCAAAATATAACGCTTTGATTTCAATCTAATTCCATACAGATAACAGAGTTGTTTACTGTTCTTAAAAATTAATCTAATTTTTTTAATTTTGCAGGAAAATTGGCAGCAGTGGTTAAAGGAAGAACTAAATTCCATACAGAGGCCTGCACGAAATTAAAATTAGTCCAGCAGCATTTTGTATCAGATTCTTCACAAATTGTACTACTTCAAACTGCAACTAATTTCAATATACATACCTACATACTTCATCTGAAGTATAAAACGAAATCGAAATGTTGTCTAAATACGTATAAAAAATAACCATCGTGCAGCATTAAACCCAGATGAATCTCTAAATCGACCTACCTGATCGCTATGCTCAATTTATTAGACTTAATGACAAATGAAGGGTTTAGAATCAAAAGGAGTTAAGTAGATCGGACATTTTTTTTTTTAGATAATTAAGGTTAAAGTTGATTACTTATTGTAAATTCTGGGTAAATACATTTGAAATTATTCTGGCCTAAATGAATGCAGGTTAATTAACTTATTCAGCGAATGTTTACTCTTTGTCACCAAATAAACACTATGTTTAACTATACAAATATGGGTATAAATTATATTTTCAAAAAATGTCACTTAGACCCTTATGATTCTAACCCCTTCAAATTAAATACAGTTATCAAAAACAACGAAATACGGCTAATTTGAAATGCCATGGAAGATTTATATAGACATATGTATGTATGTATTTACATATAAGCCTTTACAAAATTAATATACATAGCAATACAATGGTGCTGCAATCAGTTAACACAAGCACAGATATGTAGCTTAAAATAAATATTTGGTATTTACTCAATTTTGTGTATTGGTACAGACCAATAATCTCAAATGTTAGCAATAATAATAATAATTACTTATATCTGTGCAAATGTATGCGCTGGTTAGTATCCTCATTCATTACCGTTTTGTGGTAACATTTATATAATTATTACGAATTTTTGTTTATAAGCGACGATAAAACTGATGTAAAATCGTATAATAGTTACCATTTTGCAAACCAAACTGACTAGTAATGAAACAATAAACTAAGTAAATTATTTTAATATGCAGTTATAATTATGTGTACTTTATTTTATACGCAAATAATGGGAATTAAATATAGACAAAATACTAATCATGTATGTATCTAAAATACTTCTTTTATTGTTCGTAGTATTTAGATTTTTGGACAATACTTTTATAAATAGATTTTAAATATACATTCAATTAATAAAAATTAAATTTATTTAACAACACAACCAAAAGGGCAGCATTTTGATATTTTCCAAAAATTTTTCATTTTTTACAGGTGAGCAAAAAACAATTCTGCGTGTTTGGCTTTTAAAAAAAAAAAACCTTAACCTTAACCGACTCCAATCGGGACCAAATTTATTGGCGGGGGTACCCCTGATTCTAAATCTGAAGGCCGACCCCTCAGGAGACTTATAGTTTTTAAGCAATTTGCATTTAAAGTTGCAAAAAATACCAAATTCAACCTCACTTTTTCCTTTGTACACCAATTGAACTGACATGTCGGTGCTGCCATATATAACAAAAAAATGCCGAAAAACACAAGACGGAAGCAATAATAAAATACACATAATGATAGCGCGATTTAAAATAAAATGTAAATTATTTATGGAAGTATCGATTTTATAATAAAAAGCCAACCCAAAAAAAGTATCGATTCCTCAAAAATATCGGACCTAAAGTATCGATACCAACTCCAATCTGTACTCATTGTGTAATCCGCATTAAGTGAAATTATTTATTTTTTAATCACAAGTTAATCATCCTCTGCGAATCCTAAACTCCGAATAATAAAAATTTAATAATTGTAGGAACTGTAAATAAATAAAACTCCGTTAGATAGCAGAACTATATGTTTAATGGTACAGATACAAATACATATACAGTTACAAGTTCATCTTATTTAAGAAAACATTTATTAATAAAATATTTCAGGGAAAAATTCTTCTTTTGTTGCATTTCCCAAGAATAGAAGTTTTTCAAATATTTGCCAGTCAACCGATTTCTTGACGTGGTTATTGTTACTTGTGCTTTTGAAAACAATCGTTCGCAAGGAACAGATCTTGCAACTATATGTAAATATGATCGTGGTTGTTTATACAACAAAGGAAACGCAGTTTTCAGCTCCTCACAGAAGAGATACACCCATTAAAATGTATACTTAAATGATCAGAACGTCGAGCTGAGTCGATTTAGCCATGTCCGTCTGTCCGTCTGTCTGCCTGTCTGTCCGTCTGTTTGTATGCAATCTAGTCTCTCAGTTTTCGAGATATCCGGATGAAATTTGGCATGTGGGTGTATTTTTAAAATGTATTAATCATTTGTCGGAACCGGAAGAATCGGACCACTATAACATATAGCTCCCATACAACTAATTGTTCAGATATCGAGGTTTTTCGTTATAACTTCTCCTTTTATGCAGCTAGCAACATGAAATTTTGCAATACTTCCACAAATTATCAAGAGAAAACTTAGAGTGAAAATTACAAAGATTGGGTCACTATAACCTATAGCTCCCATACAACTGATTGTTCAGATATGAGATTTTTTGCGATAACTTCTCCATTTATGCAGCTACGAACATGAAATTTTGCAGTACTTGCACCCATTATCAACAGAATACTTACAGTGAAAATTACAAAGATCGGGTCACTATAACCTATAGCTCCCATACAACTGATTGTTCCATTATGAGAATTTTCGTTATAACTCCTCAATTTATGCAGCTGGGAACATGACATTTCGCAATATTTCCACCCATTATCAAAAAAATACTTAGAGTGAAAATGGCGAAGATCGGGTCGCTATAACCTATAGCCTCCATACAACTGATTGTTCAGATTCGAGATTCTTTGTTATAACTTCTCCATATATGCAGCTGGAAACATGAAATATCGCAATATTTTCGCTAATTATTAACAGAAAGTTTACAGTAAAATTAACATAGATCGTGTCACCTATTTATATCTTCCATACAACTGAGTATTCAGATATGGGGTTTTAAGCATGATAAAAATATAGTAAGGTAGAACCGCTGAGAGTCACTTTTAAAATTCTTGACGTTTCCAAACAATTTAATTTTTAAATTTACTCACAAACTCACACACACATTTTCATTTTCAATCTCAAGCAACAACAATTTCGAACAATTTCATTTTTTTATTTTCACATTTATATGATTTTAAAATGTTGGCAAACTTCAAAAAAAAATCATGGCCGACAAATTGAGAGAACGGTTATACCTTGCTATGTTTTTATCATGGTTTTAAGTAAAACTCCTTTATTTGGACTGCTAAAACAGAACAATTTCGTAAGCTATTGTATAAATAATAATACAAAGTCTACTGAGAAAATCGTCGAAATCTATGCTGTATCTCCTTAATGAAGGAGTCTAAACCCATTAAATTGTGTTAGCGGGTTACATACCGATCACGAAGTAGTGAAAATCATTCAGGTTGGCGCTATATAAGGTATATATTCCATACCTCTGATTGTTTAGATATGGTTTTTCATATATGTATCTCCTCAATTTAGGTATTCTGTAAATATATACATTTTTTCAAATGCAGTAATCTGTTAAAGTAAAATTTTCAGATGTTCATGAAAGGTATGAAGCCTTCGGCATAGCTTGCTTGTTTTTTTTTTTTTGAAAAGTTAACAAATTAGAATAAGGCAAGGTTTATATGTTCCAACTATTTAGCCAATATGATAATGGACGCCAAGCAAGCAAAAATCCAGCTTTTGACGTTGGATAAATAAAACAAAGCCAAACATATCGTCGCCTGGGTAAAAGATTGTCGTATGTTAATTTCGGCAGGTTGTGGGAAATCGCGATTGAAAGACCTTATTTCCAAATATATAACTGCATCTAGAACTAAAAATCGTCAAAATTGCACTTACGACAATCTTTTACCCAGGTGACGATATGTATATGTAAGTGGGAAATTTCCTAATACTTTTTAATAATTTTCTTCATAAAAACTATGAAAAAATTAACCTCTCTTCCGTGGATGTTTAAACACGCGGAATAGATGTAAGGATACAGCTATAAGAGCCGCCGCTCAACACAGACTTTATCGGCCGTCTATTAAAATAGTTGTGGCTCATACCAAAACACAAGCCGCGATATGAGGTTAGCCCGTCAGGCGATCATTTTTGTTGATGTATTTGTATTTTTTATTATCACTAAATTGTTGAAACCCAAAAGTAGATAATGACAAAATATGTAATATCGAATTAAAGGTAACAACTTGTACTTTCTAAATAATATTTATTTCTTTAACATTAATTATGCAGTTTTTTCAAAAGGTTATTTCATGAAAAAATAACATTTGTTCGTTTTTTAGTGGTTTTGGTTAAAAAATACAAAAAGCTATAAATTATGTGCATCAGCTGAAGACAAATCAATTATCTTGGTGGTGATCTGCATTTTTCGTTTTTGCATAGCTGAACGGTCGGTATTCTAGATTTCTTCCAGCAAATGACGAATAACTGAAATCAAAAATGCATATTTTTATGTATTGTTTAGTATTTCCATTATAACACCAAATATATTGCAAATTCGCGTAGAATTAATAATACACCTTTACTTCTAATTGTATACTTTGCGTACTTTTTGTAGTACCTTTCTACTACCTTTTTCGCAAAAGGCGATCACATTCTTCCCCTTTCTCCTACTTCCAAAATACAAATCTAGATAAAGGAGTGTCAAATTTTAGCTGTCACAAATTACACAACCTTGTATTATTGAATCATGAGGTAAATTCATAAAAAAAAAAATTTAGTCCCGAAAATGTATGTATTTCAAATACTTTCATATGTACAGGCATACCCTTGATCATATTATGTACTACATAGAAATCCCTATTTTGTCTTTTTTAACAGAAGCAAAAATCCAAGCCTCAAGCTCATGCTGTATATTGATGGTTGAATGGAAGATCGACCTATCTCGGCAGCCAGTTCGAAAACGTCCCATCTCAGAAAAATTTTCAACAACGCCCTATTTCAGAATATGGTTGAAGAACGCCCTACCTTAGAATTTTATTGAAGAATGCCCTATCTCAGCTGCCGATTCAAAAACGCCCCATCTTATTTCAATATATTTTCATTTGAGATAGGTCGTTCTTCAACCAAATTCGGAGATGGTGTGTTTTTCAATTAAATTCTGAAATAGGGCGTTTTTCAATCAAAATCTGAAGTAGGGCGTTTTTGAAAAATTTTCTGAGATAGGGCGTTTTCGAACTGGCTGACGAGATAGGTCGATGTTCCAATCAGTTGTTGTTTTTGTAGCAGCATACAAGTTCCCCAAAGAGTTTATGGGGAGTGTTGCTGAAGTGACAGTCCTTGGCCAAATAAAAATCTGGGTCGTTACGGTTTCGTAGACCCAACTGTCGTGGCTTCTTAGAAAGTATCATACACTGTTGAGTATGGCTATACAATTTTTAAAGAGATATTTTTAAATTACTTAAAAATGCAAAAAAAAATTATTGCAAAAATAGTGTCAGTTACGCTTACATAGTTGGTTTATACCAATAGCTAGTCATAGTGCAAAATTGTTCATTACTACTGAACAAAAATTAGCAAATTTTTTCAAAATACGGAATTTATTGGCGCCTTCAAAACACCACTAGAAGCACTCTGAAAGTGCATTTTGCTTCTCCAGGGAAAGTCTGCATATCAGGCGGGTGCCTTATATAGCTTAAAATTGATTTTTTTTAAATACTCTAACTTCCGAAACGTCCGTTGCGCTGTATTTGTAAAAAGCCAACATTTTCGCAAATTAGTTGGTAAATGAAGTGCATACAAACAAAATGTAGTACTAACCTCTGATTAACGTATGTATCTACTACTCTTACATAGTGGTACCCACGTTTTAATAAAATTAGAAAATTGCTTTACGTTTTCATGGGAACGCGTCACATTCTCTCAGTCTGTGCTCTCTTATAAACAATCTCGATCCTTTTTTAGACTACTTAGGTGTTCACGCATTATCTTTTATACAGCACTGCTATTTCAGTATATCTCTGGGAAATTTTATAATAGATATTCACAATAAATGTTTCTATATGCTTTCGTGGATGGAAATGCATGTTTTTCACTTGACAACGATCGATGCTTTAAATATGTTTCGACGACGACGTTTCCAAATATGTATGTATGTGTATACATAAATTAATTAATTTGATTATAATC